TTCATCATCAGGAATAACACGGTGTAGTTGTGTAAAAAACCATTCCCAAGACTCATCGTTCTCAGTATCAACAACAGCAAAGGCTACGGGAAAAATGTTGAAGTTTCCATCTTGCGTGGTGGCGAGTAGTAGTGTACCTTTGTATTTTCCATGTAAAAACGTACCGTCGACCACTACCACTTTCCTCATGAAGGGAAACCCCTGTATGCTTGCGCCAAATGAGAGGAACATAAATTTGAATCTATCTTCCTCATCAACTTCTAGCTTGATTAGTGTACCCGGATTTGCCCGCCGAATCATATATAAGTATAAAGGCAGATCTTCATAACCACTTTCAGACGTCCCTGATACTAGTTCTCGAGCATACTTTAGGGCCCGATGTGCTTTCCAATAGTCAACCTGAAAATGAGAAATAATATAGTGAAGTCTACGAAATAAGATAATAACTCTACCAAGTGAGATAATAACTCTACCATAAAGATAATAACTCTACCAAGTGAGAAAATAACTCTACGAAAAAAATTATATAAGTCTACCAAATAAATTATATAAGTCTACCAAATGAGTCAATAACTCTACCAAAGAAATAATATAAGTCTACCAAATAAGCTAATAACTCTACCCAAAAAATAAAAAAAAGTCTACCAATTAAGGTAATAACTCTACCAAAACTAATAAAAGTCTACTAAAAGAGATAATAACTCTACCAGAGAAATAATATAACTCTACCACATACCTTTATACTATATCGTTTTGTCAGAGCTTCGGCGACGTGATTTGGTAAGACTTTTGGGCCAACACCTCCGACGAAGTCCTTATATAGACGGCCTAGAACCTCATGGGTTTCATGGCGGGTGCGTAGTGATCGCACAGTCACAGAACATGTGTGTTCTCGAGTATAAGTTTTAACCCAAAAACATTTGCTGCTCCCAACAGTTGAAGCGCGAACCCTCCATTTGCAACCATCTACCCAACACTTAACAGTTAGCAATTTCTTACTCGAATGATCGACATTGTAGTTGAATTTGTGAGCAATGGAAAGAATTTTGAGTCGCATCTCGAAGTCCTCTTTTGTTTCATAACGCTGGCCAACAGCTAAGTCTAAAGATGAAAGCTCTAGACTTTGAAAGTCGGGAATTGTAGTCAGTCCCCTTTTCTTCGGTGGTAGATTTAGCGACTCCTCCTCATCTGAACTTTCACCATCTGGACGTTTCTCACGTCTACCGTACTCTTCGTCATCGGAACTTGCACCATCAAGATCTTCACATCCATCAAATCTGGTTGACAAATCCTCTTCTTCTTCATGCATTTCATCGTCTTGTCCAACTTCAACACCTTGTTGCAGACGATCTTGGCGCACTTGTTCTTCAGGGACTAGACTAGGACATGCATCTCGATCTTCGTCTTCATCAACAACTCCCTTCTGAACTTTTTCTTTGATCTCAACACATAAACGAACCGTTTCGTTTTTGTTCTGGAATTGATGCAAAAAACTCTGCAGCTGTCTTGAATTACCAACAAAGACAGGAGGTGTATCCAGAGGTAATTTCCGCCGGACTTCAGACGAAAACATATAGCTGAACTGAAGCTCATAAAGATGTTGATCCAACCCGAAATCTTCATATACGATTTCAACCAAATCGGCAAATGACGTTTTGCGGTCTATCCCTATAAAACTACATCTCCTGGACTGATCTACGATGAAGACCCACCTCGTTTTCTTTAAAACCCAGTTACACAAACCAAAACAACTTGATCCATGAATATAAAAGTGGATAAGAGGCACAAGATCGAAGTAGAAGGAAAAAATCAAGAGTTATCCCAAGTTTAACAGCTCGACGGCGAAACCTAGAGGTTGAAGATGGACTCTGGTTTTGTTCCGTACTTTAGACAATACATACAGGGCAAAAAAGTAAAATCGCACTGCCCGATAACTAAGTCTACCACATTGATATTGAATCTAACAATTTACAAACAAATCTACCATATAGGTCACTAAGTCTACCATTAATAAAACATATGTACTTGTAATGTTTATAGCTCTACCAACTAAAGTACAGTACATTTAAGCAGGTGAAAACCCAGCAGAAAACATAAACTTAAGAGCGAGTTTCGATATAAATCGGCTGGTCTTGCGACATAAGCGAGTTCAAACGGTAATAGCGACGTCTTCGCTTCGTCGAATCCACCGACGGCGAAGGAGTACTCACACATTATTTGGTATGAACATTCATAACCGCGGTAAACATTTAGTGTTCATAGCATTAAACGACTTTTGTTATAGATTATTGGAGTTTTCTATCATTGGTGGGGCTAATGTTCAAACTAAAAGTCGTCCTGCTTTAGTAAAAGTGATAAAATGCATCTATTTCGTCGTCGAAAGGTTGTTTCTCGGCTATCAGCGGCTGTATGCCTAAACCCAGAAACCCTAGTTTTTGTGTGAGTGGTAGACTTTTAAAATATGTAGTAGAGTTTACGTATTATCATTTATAGTAGACTTTTCTGGTTTTATGGTAGACTTTATATGC